CAAGGGCGCTGGCCCGCCTCCCTACCCCAGGTTCCCCCCCATCCGAAGGCACGAGCAGCAGCAGGCCTCCAGGAACCCCGAGTCCAGAGGGGATGTCTATGGGGACAGGCACACGCTCCCCAGAAACGTCTACCTCATGAGCCCGCTCCCGTTCCGATTGAAAAAGCCCTTCCAGCACCAGTCGTGCAGGACTCCATCCCCAGACTGCCCGGGGAGGCCGGCAGCGCCCAGCCCGAGCCGGCCGAGATGGCTTCCCGGGCCGGGCAGGCGCCCCTGGCTCCTTACACAATGGCAACCCTGTTCCATTTGCCCTCTGTCACGGCCTGGACACAAACAACAATCCGCAAAGTGAACTTGGGACGTACCTAGGAGGTGGCTTTTTGTGTTCTTTACCGGTGTCCCCTCACCTGTCTTCTCGCTTTCCTTTCTCCTCCCCTTTTCTTCCCCAACCCTTGCATTTTTACTCCTTTGACGCCTTCGCATCCCCTGACTCTGGTTTCTCCCCTGGTGTGTCTCCCGTCCTTTGCCTGTCTTGCTGAGCATCGTTGTCCAGGACCCGTTAACAGCTGCACTTCTGAGAAACGATGCCCACTGCCGTGCCGGTCGCACCGGGTTCAGCTGGGCTCTCAGGCGACTCCGGGGATGCAGGAATCTTGGCATGAGATATTTCTAGCCCTCTCTCATTTGCAAACGTGGGAATATAAAAGAAACCCAGATGGTTTCCTTTAAGGAGCAGTTTCTCAAGGTCTAGTTGTGTGGGGTGTGTGCGTGCGTGTGTGCGTTAAACTTCTCTCAGCAGTAGAACGCCAAATCATACTTTGATGGCGGCAGATCTTTTCTTCACAAAGTCCTTCTATGAAAAACTCTTTCCCATACTGTTATTTTCTACCTGTTTTTGGATCTTTGTTCACAAGTGCAGCCCAAAAGGGAAAGAAAAAATGAAAACTGATAAATTACCGACATCTGATTGGCAATTTGGTCAGTGGCAATTGAGCATCCGTTCTGTCATAATGGAAGCAAATTGTTTCAAAACATCTATTTTTTTTCCTTTCTGGTTATGCTTGCTAAATCCATCTGTATTTTAACTTCCTTATGTTGTTTTGAAGTAGATTCAGAATCACCAAGGCATTTTGCACCAGTTGATTACATGGAAACTCCAGAAGAAATTATCCGCCGACGGCATGATGACAAAGAGGTAATGCCCTCCTTCACGGCCCCGCGTAACGGTTGTGGCAGCTCCACGTACAAGAAATACAGCATGCAGCCTTGTGTGCGGACAGCTTAGATGTCCGTGGCTGTGCATGTTGGAGGTTAGAGCAGCAAGTTGGAACCGGTATGTTTTAATTTTCATACTGCCTCTGCCACTGATTTAACGTACAATGTGTAGCCTGGTTTAGCTTTTGTTTAAAATGAACCTGGGAGTTCTTATCGATCGCACAAAATGCTGGGGGGGGCTTTGAAGAGTGTAAAAAGCCCAAAGATGTACGTGAGATGCGGTACAACGCCCCAGTACTCACAGATAAAGATGAAATGGTTATTCTGTGAGGGAGTTAAGTTTTCTTCTTCTCCACGTGAGACGGTGTTAATCAAACTGGTGAGAACAGGATTTTTCTTGTGGGGATCCCCAGGTTTTGAGCAGCAAATGTAAAATACGTTTAAGCTATCAGAAAGCATGAAGTTTCCCCCCAGTGCAAACTGGAAGTCTTTGTGGTGTCTCAGGCTGCTGACGGCAGAATGTAGCAGTCTGTTTGGAAATGGGGACAAGCCAAAAGAATAGGAGAGCCACGTAGACTTCTCAGCACTGACTGCGTTCAGGCTGAGTTAAAGAAATTATGAAGTGATTGCTTTCCAGAAAACTGTTAATTTTCACTGCCTGGGGTGGAAAAGAAAAGGTCCGTTTTTCATGTTAGCTTTTGGAGTTCAAATGATGTCTGTGTGTGCTTTGAAATAAGGTAAAACCTGCCCTTAGTTCCTATGTGAAAAATATATTTTTGCTGTCTTCTCACGTGAAACAGTTAGTAATCCCCTCACCTCCAAAATCCAGCCCAAAAGCTCTCATAAGAGCAAAACTCTGAATTCACTCAGACCTGCTGGCTTCAGGTAAGCTGGCAGAGAGCTGAACTCCTCAACCTACTGCTGGCCTCGAAAGACGGAAGGATCCTTCTGCCCCGGGACTCCAGAAGGCACGCTTCCCTTCGTGTGCCGGGGGCTGTGGGAGTCCAAAATCATTCTCTGGGGTGTGTTTACTTTATTTTACAAAGCATATCACATGAGCCCAAAGGAGGTATGAGAGAAGGCGGTACCTGAAGGTGGACAGGTACTCCGCTAAGCTCCTTGCAGAGCTCAGGGCAGTGCGGTGCCTCGGAGCTTCCGCGGGGAGCTGAGCCAGGTCTCGTGGAAGTCGATGAGAGAAACTCCGGGTTGGTTGGAGGGGGCGTGGATCAGCCCTCGGCAGTCTGCTTGGGAGCTCCCAGGACCTGGCCAAAACTTGGAAACACTCCTCGTTGACTTCCACCAGCCTTGGGTCCGATCCTCGGGCTGAGCTGGGTTTCAGTTACGCTGTGATGGTGATGTACCTGCTGTGCTTGCGAAACGAAAAGGTATTGTGTCGTGCTTAGAATCGTGGCTTTTTGTGTCGAACTGCAAAAGCCCAGCTGTTTGCTGGGACCTGAGAAATTTTATTTGAGTCACATTTGTGGCAGCTGTTGAATGCCCTTAACTAGATGATTTACTGCCCGTTTTATGCGATTTTATGGCAGAAACTTTTAGAGGACCAGAGACGGCTTAAACGTGAGCAAGAAGAAGCTGATATTGCAGCTAGAAGGCACACGGGGGTTATTCCAACGCACCATCAGTTTATCACTAATGAGCGATTTGGGGACCTCCTAAATGTAGACGATACAGCAAAGAGGAAATCTGGGTCAGAGGTCTGTTTTGGTTACCTCGGTCTGCTGCTTGACCCAAAGCCATATTTGCCTCTCACGATGTTGTGCTTTAGGCCGACATTAGCTCTTCAGAGAATGTTGTCGTTTTTTTTTCCCACCTTCCCATTTCCCATTCTGGCTTCATTTAGATCCGCTCTGACTCTCGTGCCTGGTAAATTAATTGGCGTCTCTATAGCCAGCTGCGTATGTTAAAGCATGCCCGCTGCGGATCGCTGGCGCACGCCTGTGATGCATGCCTTGAAATAGCAGCTCCTCTCCGTCAATCAAAGGCATTCTGCATCTTCTGCATCATACCGCTACCTTGTCTTCTCGTCTCTGCCTTACGCTTAGAAACTCCATGCCTTCTTGGTCCTGGCCATGTGACTGTCTCGTAGGGGGTTTTTTTCTAGAAGTAGATTGTTTCTGCTCCTCTTGAAAGATGCTTAACATCCTTTAGAAAAATTAGGGAGAAGCGTGTTTCGCTGCTTATGACCTGGTTGGTCTGTCTGAAAGAGACAAAGGAGGAGGTGGACGGTTTTCCGTCAGCCCACGGCGCTTGTCCTGAGGGCTGGATGCGAGTCCGGGCGTCCTGGCCAAATGCCTTCTCCTGCCGTGGGGCTTGCTGCCGAGGGTCCGGCCACCGGCTCGGTTCCCCTTGCGGATGGAGCACGCTTGGCTGCCCTTGGCGTGCTTAGATGCTCTGGTGCCACATGAAGGTGACGAGTTCGCATTTTATGCTCTATTACCAAAATGACTTTAAAATTGTCTGGATATTTGGTGGCTATTAGAAAATCAGCCAAGTAAATCAAGCTGTAAAGCCTAGGCCTGCTGTCTTTGGCTTTATAACCACTGAAGGCTTGGTTTTTTCCTTCAATGTGCTTAATTTATTCATATTTCCTCCTCACCTTTGTCTCTTTCCTACCAATTTATACAGAATACGTGGGTCACATTGCAGGATTCAGCAGGGCCAGGTCAAATCAAATGAGCCAGATCAAATCAAATCCCACTGATTTTTACCCAGCCAGTAAATTTTGCTTTTCCATTGCCACGTCGAGGGAAATTTGGTCCCGGAGCCCGGGTAGCTGCAGTTGCTGGAGCAGCTTTCATTCGGCAGGGTTTGTGGCGTTTACGCTTGCTGCTGTGAAAGCGGTTTGCTGCAGAGCTCCCAGTTACCGCTGTAGCAGGAGCTGGCCCTTCTGCCCCGGTGGGAAAGACCCACCCAGCAGCATCATACCAGGCGCACGCAAGCGCCGAGCAGGGTGCCTGCATTCAGCTTCTTCCCCAGACTAACGTTAGCTAGAGAAGAGTTTGGGTGCTTTTCCTCAGAAGCGGGTTGAAAAACCTAAGCATCCTTTTAATGTACTGCTTTTTTTTTTTGATCCCTAGATGAGACCTGCTAGAGCCAAGTTTGACTTCAAAGCACAGACGCTGAAGTGAGTACTGCTGGTTCCTCCTGCCTCAAGTGTTCTGCCTCTGCTTTTTCCCCTGGGATGCGGCGTTGGTTGTGAAGTGTCACGCAGTAGGATTCGTGTTTTGGGAGTGTCTTCCCAGGAGCTGAAGGCAAAGTTGTCCGTAGTAAGGCAGGGAAAAGTAATACGAATTTTGCAGGTCGTAGCCTCTGAAGGACCTTTGGGAAAATGGCTTTTTTCTCAGTTCATCTGTATCCCATGTGATTTTGGGGGGCAAACCCACGTTCTTCACTGGATCAAGCGAGTGCTCCGCTCTGAGGGTGAATGTCACCTGCTCAGCAGGACGGCTGGGTGAGACCTCTGGGCAGCAGCTGCCGGTGGCATTGTGGCGGTCCCTCGGGTCAATCACACAGCACCGCTCGTTCTTTTTGGGGAAAGCCGCGGTGGAGAGAAGCCCTGGAAGGCTTTTCCCTCGGCGTGAGCCTGGAGAAGCTCTCATTTTAACATTGCTGGGGAGGGAAGAAAGAACAGAATTCAGCGAAGGACCTGCTGTTTTTATTCTCAGGTGCTGACGTCCTGAGAATATTTTGTGACATGTTCCGTAGGTGATGGTTTGTAATGCTTTACGCAGCATCTCCCCAGCACCTGTGATAGAACCAAGGCAGATGTCGGGACTGTTGTGTCCCTTGAGCAGAACATACCAGGGTGCCAGACGACAGTAGAGGAGAGCTCGTGAAAACCGTGGTAGGGAAGGCTGGGTTGGTTGTTCTCCTGCGGGGAGCTGAGGAGTAGGTTGATGAGCCCGCTGCAGGCTGCCCACAGCCGGAGTTCCTCAAGCTGCAGACTGTGGGTTGAGATCCCAGCTGTCAGCCCAGGTCAGGTCGGTGGTTGCACGGCCACAGGCTGACCAGAAGTGTATCACAGAATCACAGAATGGTGGGCATTGGAAGGGACCTCTGTGGGCCACCCAGTCCAACCCCGTGCCGAAGCAGGGTCACCCAGAGCAGGCTGCACAGCACCGCAGCCAGGCGGGGCTTGAATATCTCCAGAGAAGGAGACTCCACAACCTCCCTGGGCAGCCTGGGCCAGGGCTCCGTCACTCTCAGAGGGAAGAAGTTCTTCCTCGTGTTCAGCTGGAGCTTCCTCTGCTTCAGTTTGTGCCCGTTGCCCCTTGTCCTGTCGCTGGGCACCACTGGAAAGAGTCTGGCCCCATCCTCCTGACACCCACCCTGCAGATATTTATAAACATTTCTAAGGTCCCCTCGCAGCCTTCTCTTCTTCAGGCTGAAGTGTAATCGCTGCAGGGTCAACACTGGCGTGTGAGGGGCTTCATCTGATCAGCAAACCAGCTTCTGTGAAAATCGTGTCTCTTTGGAAGGTGCTTGTGACGTGACCTGGTTCAAAACAGGAACCGGGTGCTGCTCACCGTATCTCACGTGGAGAGCAGCCAGTGGCACCTTCTGCTTGAGCTTGACCCCGCTGCTGCTGGAGGGCGTGCGGTTAGCAGGGCCCTCCCGGAGCAGCTGTTTTGACAGAATGCCCAGAGGGTCCCTGCACAGCACAGTGTGAAGGGGATAATTCTCGAGAGGTAGCTTCCACATTGGATGGAGTGTGGTTTGTATCAACGGGGCCGATGCAGCCCTGGGGATCGCTGGGCAGCTGCAGGGCAGCGCGTCTGTGCTCCAGTGGAGTTCTGATGGAGTGCTTGTGTTGTTGACAGGGAGCTTCCTCTGCAGAAAGGAGATATTGTTTACATTTACAAGCAGATCGACCAGAACTGGTATGAAGGCGAGCACCATGGCAGAGTTGGCATCTTCCCGCGGTCGTACATCGAGGTAGCTGCTTGCCTTGCGGGTGTTCCCTTTGCCCGCTCCCTGTCTGCCAGTGACCAGTTGGTCGGGTTTGTGTGTGCGACCGGTTGGATTCTGTTTGTTCGTTCTAGCTCCTCCCGCCAGCTGAGAAGGCTCAGCCCAAAAAGCCGTCACCACTGCAGGTATTGGAATACGGAGATGCTGTTGCGAAGTTCAGCTTCAATGGCGATACCCAAGTGGAGATGTCCTTCAGGAAGGTAGGACTTCTGCTGTGCTGATGAACTGAATCCTGACAAATGCTGAAGTTTTTTAACACTAGTGACTTGCAATTTCCAAATGAAAGCTCCAAGAAGTTGAGCTCCTTACTCAGGAAGGGTTCCTTCTCATCACCCATGTGTTTACCCCGTAGTCATGGCATAGTGCGTTGCAGGTAGGCTGAATCAAGACGTGCCGCTTGCTGCCCGAGGGCGGGCTGAGATGGTAAGCTTGAGCACGAGTCCTGGCAGCCTGGCTCTGCAAGGCAGGTTAGATGTTTGGGGTGCCACGTCTGCAGTCTGATCCTCTCCAGCGGGCGTGCACACAGTCACGTGAGAATGGCGATACAGAAGGAAACCGGGTTCCCCTTGCTTCGTACTGCAAGCCAAATCACTGAGCAGAGGCAGGCGAGGGTCGGTGGCGTGGCAGTGACTGGCTGGGCCCCCCCGACGGGGACGGCTTGGGTGATGCCTGCTCGGACCAAAGCCAGCCACATTTAGATGAAGGAGCAGCATTTCTCCATCTCAGCCAGCTTTCTGTTTTGACGCTCAGATTAGATCTTGTCTGTCTTCTCTTTTAATTATACATGAAGGTGGGGCTTGCAGTTTATATTAAGGATCTGGAAGTCACTTTGTTTGTCAGCGAAACGGGAGAGCATAGAGAGACGTAGTTTAAACCGCAGACCTGTGCCCCTCCCTGTCCACCTCGTACCCCGCAGGGTCTCGTGGTCAGCCTGGAACTGCTGGTTGCCGTTTTTTCAGCTGGATTTAGCAAGTAGAGTCTTGAAGATGTGGAGTGAGCGTAACAGAGTCTGCGGACAGCCCGAGTCAGCACCGCAGGATTTCCTCCTCCTCTGAACTGAAATGTTTCTTCCCTCCCGGAGGCTGGGGTTAGGACCGCATAACGGGGCAGGCTGGGCGCCACAGATTGTTTGAAGTCAGCGGCAGCAAGATTAAACATGTAATCTGCTTTGGAATGATGAAAGATGTTAAAGGGAGGGGATTACATTGCTGTTCCTTCCCACAGGGAGAAAGGATCACGTTGATTCGCCGAGTGGACGAGAACTGGTATGAAGGGAAAATCTCCGGCACCAATCGCCAGGGCATCTTCCCCGTCACTTACGTGGAAGTGCTCAAGCGGCCGGTGGTCAAGAACGCCATCGACTATCCTGACCCACCAATGTCCCTCTCCCCGAACCGCAGCGTGACAGCTTCACCGCAGGTATTTGGAGCAGACGCAGCCGGCGACGGCACCTTGCAGAGCCGAGGGATGTTGCCGTTGCCGTGCGAGAAGCGGTAGCTGAAAAAAGCTCTAGCTAAGGGCGAGCGCTTCGCGCGGTAAAACCCCTGCGCTCCCTGCAGCGTGCTGCGACTGCAGGGGAAGGTGATGTTTCGTTTCCCAGAAAGGTTAATGAACGGGTCGTTTGGGGATTGGGAGACTCAGCTTTGCATCTCTGATCTGTAGCTTGGGTTCGGGCCAGGCTGAGAGGGCTGCAATTCACAGCCATCGGAATAAATTTCCCTGCCAGAGACGGAATGAACTGGTGATCCAGCTGCTCCCCAGCACGGGTTCGCACTTCGCAGAGCTCCGCTGTGATGAGGGAATTTTTTGTTAGGACTGTTAAAAGGGCGTCACAGACTGTGGGAGTCATTATGTTGATCCCAGCCAGCCTGAATCAAACTGTACACTTCCACCTCAATGTCCCAGCTCACGACCCAGGTCTGGGGAGACAGATTCAGAAGAGTGGCCTGGCTGATTTGAAATCGGTGCGAAGTCAACTCAGGTTTTGAGAGCAGGGCAGTCTGGGGTCTTCTGTGAGCGTTAGATTCGCTGTAAAGTGTACTGCAGTTCAAACCAGAAATCAGAACGGCAGCAGGTAATTGTACGGGGATCCCAGAATGTTTGCCATGGGAGACGTGTCAGGGAGGCAGCGAGTCTCTGAAGCCCTTTGTTCTGCTCTCATCCTGCAAATACTCGCGCTTGGAGGTTGGCATACGTGTGTGGGACGCAGCCACGAGGTTCTGGTGCATCCCCCTCTGATCCATGGGACCGAAGCAAGGTCGTGCTGCGGTCCAGACTCCAAGGAACAGGAGTGGAGAGCTGAGCTCGGGAGGAAGGGGTTTGCGGGACAGGGTGGATGGGAAGGGCTGCCACGGCTCGTGCCTGGCGTCTGTCCGGACCTTCCCGACAAGGAGCGGTTTTATCCTTAGCCACTGTGTAAAGGGGAAAGACTTGTTGCTTTTTGGGGGTTCCCTGTCAAAGTGGGCCTCAGCTGAGCTTTTCTGCTTGAGCTTGGCAGTCTCTCCATAGCTGTGGCCTGTCTGCTGCCAGCTCCCTGCAAGCTGCTCCCTGTGGTGGAGGGGACTGTAGCCACCCTTTTTTGGTTTCCTCTGCTATTCTTTTGATCCCTCCCCTAGTAAATCAGTTCTCTCCCATACTTTTTTGCCTTAGTTGACAGAGGGCTGAGAAACGCTCCGATCAGTGCTAACGTAGCTGCTCTCGCTGGCGTCGCTGGTGGCAATGGCGAAGGGCAGAACTCAGTAGTGTTGTTCTGCCTTTATAAACGTAGGACCTACTTCAATCACCTAAAGACCAAATAGCCACAGCTGGCTTTGCTGATCCCTTTCTCCTCCACAGCTTCAGCAGTGTAAGTTTATTGAGGAGCAGGCATTGCTCGTGCTACTAGGGTTGGATAAAGTCAAAATTCATTGCAGCAGCGAATTCTGACTGGGTCCAGTGTGGGTTGCTGCCAGGCCAGAAAAGTGCTCCATGAGTGGTGGCTTCAGCTGCTCCCTGAGGGACTTAGGGCACGCGGTATGAAGTCTAAGGTCTCCCACCAGACATTTGGTGGCCGGGATCCTGGCAAAGGCTGGAGCAGGGCGTTAGCAGCGCAGCTACAGACTGGACTCCGTGGCTGGAGAAGCTGTGGGCAGCACGTTCTCCAACGCGGCGCGCCTGTCCGTGGAAAACTGATGTACCAGGCTTGGCCACAGATCTGCTCCTCTCTACGCTCGCTCGCTCTCCTTTTACTTTTGCTCGGTCGCTGTGTATTTTCCTTTATTATTTTTGTGTTCATTTCTTTCTTTTTCTCTCCTGCTTTTGTCTCCTTCAAGTCTCCCAGCTCTGAGCTGCTCCATACGCCAACTCCTCCGCCTTTGCCTTTTGCGCGCCGCGCCTTATCTCCGGAGGTGCAGGCGGTCACGTCCGAGTGGATTGCTCTGACCGTGGGCGTCTCTCCTAGCACCACTCCTGCCATAACTCCTCCATTGCCTCCTCCGCCCGGAGCCTCCCTCTCTCACCCTGACTCTCTCTCGCCTTCTGCTGCAGCCAGCCCTTCCCCCTCGGTCAGCATCCACCATTCTCATCTCTCTGGCTCCTCGGCTCCCAGGTCCATCAAATCCCCGTTGCCCTCTTGCCCATCCAGACCTCAGTCCTCCGCTTGCAGTTTCTATCAGGCTGCTCCGCAAAGCGAAGAGAAGTTGGTGGCTTCCCCTTCTCCCAGCGTGAGCTGCTCCAACTCCCCTCGCTGGGCGGTGGAGAGCCCCAACAGCATCCTCGCGGAGCAGCGAGGCACCGCTGGCAGCCAAGCCTGGCTCCAGAAGACTGGAGAGGGCGGCAGCAACCCCAAGCTGGGTGCTCGCGATGTTCCCAACCCCAAGCTGGGTGCTGACGAGGTTCCCAAGATCTCTGTGGAGCGCTGCCTGAAACCGTCCCAGCTAGACATGCGTGTGAGCCCAGAGAAGAGACCTGTGGGTTCCTCTGAGGACAACCAGTTGTGTCAGGAGCTAATGGCTATTGTGCAGGGAGGTAAAGTGGAGGAAAGAGGCGTGAGGAGAGGTGATCTGGGAAGGTTTCAAAGCGGGGAAAAGAAGGTACTTCTGCATGTGTGTGTGCTGCTCTGAGTCGCTGGTTTTAACTGGTGTGGTGGGGCTTGTGCTGCTCTGCTGGCAAGGTGGAGCCAGGGGCTGCCACATGTCATCTTGGCAGTCCTTCTTCCAGGGGTCACCAGGGGGATTCACTGGAGGGCAGATCAAAAAGTTTTAGAAGAGGGCTCAGGAGCAGTGCAGTGACGATTCTTTTAGAATAGATAACAGCACAGGACTGACTCCGTTGGTCACGTCTAACGAGGTGATTGTCCTGGGTAGTGGCTATTACCAGGTGTGTCACGTGAAAGCATCACATGGGCCTCATGCCCGTACACCTCACCCTGTAGAACACAGGCAGCTCCTTGCTGTTCAGGGATTTTCCAGTGTGCAACGGGTCGTCTTTGGTTATGGGATTCATCTGTTCCTCCTAAAGCCAAGGACTGAGAAGCCTGGTAAAGGTCAGCCTGGCTCCTGGAATCACACCGCTTGTTCCCCGTTGATCCTGGAGCCTGTGGTTTGGTGAACCTCCGTCCGGGCTGCGCACGACTGCGGCAGGGAGGCGGGGTTGTTACCTGTGCCTTGAGCGGAATTTGTTCCCTTGGCATTTCCAAAATGGTGTGAAAGGCTCTGGCCACAAATGAGAACTAGACCTAGTGACGTTTTTCCCCAAGAGTTTTTCGTTGTATGTAGCCGTATGTTACGATGAGGAGCATAGGGGAACCCTCCAGTAGCTTCTACAACTTATCTTCTGCTCCCGGTCTCGGTATAGGAGATCTGCCTTGCTTTGCAGCTCTGGGTTGACTTGGGGTCCGTTGTGGGCTACAGCCAGCCAAAGTAACGTTACAGCACCCCGTGCTACCTTGTGTAAGAGGGGGAGCTCGGCGAGCTCGACATCAGAGCATTGTAAATCCTCTCGGATGCACTGCGAGAGCCTCCGTAGCATCCCCCATCTAGCCCACATTAAATAACGAGGAAATGGGGTTTCTAAGATGGCACGTTTCACACTGGGAAATCTTCTGACAAATTGTTTGGTTCCTGCTTGAATCATAACCAGAAACGTATGGAAAGCTGTGTAAAGACTGTGCTGTTTGCCACCTGGAGATGTTTTTAGTGGCGTTTTCTTACAGACGTAACCTGCATGTTTGAAACGGGTGGAGGTGGTCAGCCCAGACAGACCAGCTGGGAGCTGCCCTGGCGCTTGCATGGAGTTACGTTTGCTGTGTGTGCGTCAGACTGACTGGGCAGTAGATGCTCTCATCACTAGCAGTGATTGCGACGAGAGAGTGTGTGCCAAGCTGACCAACTTTTCTTTTCTTCAAAAGACTGCAGACTCAAAAGCATGCTCTTCATCTGCTCCTCTCTCTTCCTCTGCCCTCTCTTCCTCTACTGTCACAACACAGCCACCTCCCAGACTTACACGCAGAGTCAGTGAGCCACAGGTAACCATCTTTGCTGATTACTCTTCCGTTACATAGAGTTGTTTCCATGCCGTTGTTTTGTCATACGCTTGTTTAGCCATTCATTGATTCCCCAGGGGAGATGGCTTCTCCTGTCACTTCATTCAGAATTTTTATTTTTTAAAAAAATCCTTTTAAATGACTTCCAGGCTGTGCAGAAGGGCGGGTATGGGCAAAATCTTCAGCTGGTGAGAATCCACGTAGCTCAGGTCTGGGTTTCTGCCAGTTCGTACCAGCCGAGGATCTGATTTTGTGTTCCTCCAGAGGATTAACCCAGGGCTTACTTAGCTCTGACCTTGAGTTCCTACAGCTCGATTGCATTAGAAGGCAGTATCGGGGGCCTCGTTAGCAGGAGCGGCGTAGCGTGAGGTACTTTGGTCCAGGTTGTGTTTAACCGCCTGAGATGGGGCGTCAGAGTCTGGAGTGTCTCGGAGCCGGGGCAAGGCACGCACGACTTGGTGCCCACAGCGGCAGGGGCCCGTGCCAGCCTTCTCAGAGGGCTTCAGAGGTGCTGAGCTCTGTTGCCGAGAGCTGCAGACGTCTTTAGAGAGGGACGGAGTCGGGTCTGCGCAGCGTAACCGGCTCGGCCTCGGCGTTGTGCGGCTGGGACGGCGCTGAGCAGTGCTCCCGGTGCCTCCTGGGTCCTTCTGGGCAGCTTCCACGAGATGGCAATCTTTGAAACGGAGAGCTCACGACTGGCGAAAGCTGGAGGGAGTTTGTGGCCATGGGTGTTGGGGAAGCAATCTGTGATCCGTCAACCGGGCAGGCTGCTGGCGCGGGGCGAGGAGCAGGGGGGAAGCAGTTGCCAAGGTTAAATCATCTTCTGGGTCGGTTGATGAGCGACTCAGGAGAGCGGAGAGCCGCGTTCATGGGAAGGTGTTTCTCCCCAGTGCCGACC